GGAGGTCCAATGTTTTTAAATTCAATCAATTCTAGTGGAATCGTAAAAGATGGTGAATATATTGCTAACTTATTTATTGAAGCAATAGAAAATGTAGGTTCAAACAATGTTGTTCAAGTTATTACGGATAATGCAAGTAATATGAAACTTGCCGGTACTATTGTGGAGCAAAAATATCCTCATATATTTTGGACTCCTTGTGTTGTTCATTGTTTGAATCTAGCTTTGAAAAGTATGTGCCAACCTTCGGAAAAATCACCTCACTTTACTAATTGTAAATGGATTTTAGAGTTACTTAGTGAAGTGAGTAATTTGAAGAACTTTGTTGTGAACCATGACTTGGCACATGCACTTTTTCAAAAATATTCGGATTTGTGTTTGTTGAAGGTTGGTGAAACAAGATTTGCCTCACACATCATTATGACCACCCGAATTCGTAAAGTGACCTTCTTTGGAGAAAATGGTCATGGATGATGAATGGAAGAATTATAAGGGGGATAAGGGAATTGAAGCCAAAACACGTGAAATAAAATCCCTTATAATGAATGATGAAAAATGGGATAGTATTGATTATTTCTTGAAATTTACGGAACCAATTGTTGATATGCTAAGAAGCGCCGATATTGATGGTCCAAAATTACATCTCATCTATGATATGTGGGACTCAATGATTGAGAAGGTCAAGAAAGTCATCTTTGAGCATGAGGGGAAAGATCTCATTTCCGGTCAATCAAATTTTTTTGATACTATTCATGATATTCTTGTGGCTAGGTGGAACAAAAGTAACACACCTCTACATTGTATGGCACATTCTTTGGTTCCCAAATATTATCATGAATCATGGCTTCAAGGAGAGAATGGAATTCGAAAGCTAGCTCCTAATGAAGATAGTGAAATTTCATTGAATAGAGTCAAGTGCTTTCAAAGGTACTTTAAAGATTCTAATGAAATGAAACAAGTCTCATTGGAGTATGGATCCTTTTGTAGCGGAAGTGGCTATTTTAGTGAGCCTCATGTGATTGAGGCTATGATGTATGAAGATTCTCTTTCTTGGTGGGCAAATCATGGGGTCTCGGCTCCACTTTTGCAACAATTAGCTTACAAGTTGCTTACTCAACCGGCTTCTTCCTCTTGTTGTGAAAGAAATTGGAGTACATATTCTTTGATTCACAATATCAAGAGAAATAAGTTAGCAACTTCAAGAGCCGAAGATTTAGTGTTTGTACATTATAATCTCCGGTTGTTGTCTCGCAAGAAAGAGAAATATATAAATGGGCCAAGCAAATATTGGGATGTTGGTATGTCTATATTTTCTTTATTATTTTCTTCAATTATTTAGTTTAAATGATGTTTTTTTTTTAATATAAAATCTTCTAATATATTTATTCTTTTTAATTTATTTTAGGTGGAGATCGATTTGATATTGATGAGACAACTAATGATCTAACCGAGCTTTCAATAGATGAACCTCAAATTGAAGGTGTGATATTTGAGGAAGAGTTTGAAGATTTGGAAGAAGTTGAAGAAGATGTGGAAGATGTGGAAGAGATAGCTAACTTAATTAAATAACTTGATAATTGACAATATTTTGTTGTTATGTTAATTTTAAGTTATGGATTAAGTTGAGACAATCTCTTGATTTTTGTTAAATAGTATGTTTTACACTTTTACTTGGTGTATTGAATATTGATTAGTAATTATGAATATCTAAATTGTGGATAATTATCTTTGTGTATATCTTAAATTTTAATAATTGCAGTATTTTCACTTTCACTTTGTTTCAAGAGATGAGTTACTATCCATGTTCTAAGGTTAGTTCTTCTTTTCAATTTTTATTGATTCTTTTAGTTATATTTATTCTATTGTAATTCACTAATTTGTAAATGCTTTTAATGTTTAGTTTCTGTTTTGTTGTGTCTTTGTAGGAGGAATGGAAGAGTAATCTCATCTTGAAGAATGGAAGATTGAATTCTACAAAATACATGTAAGTTTATCACAACATATCTTTCAAATTTAGAATATCTTCATAACTATATTTTTATAATATTGAAAAATTTTAGCCGTATCGCCGCACCCGTATCCATACTCGGATTCGCACCCACGAATCTTAAAGTTTGGATTTTGCCGAATCCGACTCTCAGATTCGCATCCGTCTCGGATACCCGCACCTGAGTCCGAGCAACTTAGATCTGCTGGGCCCATACCTGATTTTTACACTCATGGCATTGTGCTCAATGGTTATTTTAAGTATGGACTTGTTGAAGAAGCTTTGTTGCTCTTTAGTAAGTTGGAACGAAAGAGAGAAAATATTGATATTATATTTTACAATATTGTCATTGGTGGCTTGTGCAAAAATGGTAAACTCGACAAAGCTCGTGCCATTTTTGAGAATCTTCCTTTAATTGGAGTGCTACCAAATGTGAGAACATTCACTATAATGATAAATGGATTATGTCTTGAGGGGTTTTTGGATGAAGCTATGATATTCTACGAAATATGGAAGACAATGGTTGTTTTCCCAACAATGTCACTTACAATGTTGTTGTGCAAGGATATCTCAGGTGCAACAAAATTAGTGAAATGGCAACATTTATGAAGAAAATAGCGGGAAGGGGCTTCTCACTTGATGCAACTACAACTGAGTTACTGATAAACGTCATAAGGGAGAATCCTTCCGTCCTTGACATCATACCAGAGCTTCACTTAAGAAACAAGAAGTGATCGCTTGGTTTATTCAGCTAGGCTATGGCTGTAATACAATTTCCTTTTTATCCCTGCAAAACAAGTGGCATCCAATGCATTGCAGAAGCTGATGGCAATTAGAATGTTGCTTGAGTTTTCTAGGCAGACCTATTGAGGAGGTACTTCAATTTTGATATGTTGAGTTATTTATCAGCTCTTCTTTTTCATAGAAATCAAATGTGCTTGCACTCTTAATATGAGAAGTATGGTGACCATACCAATTTCTAAAATAATAATAATATAATGGTGAGCGTCTTTATGTGTACACGTTATAAGTCTAGTAATATCAATATTTTTAGTACTACTTAATTAACTTCAGGTATTTTTTTTGATAGAAGCACAAAGAAGAGACAAAAATCCCGTCGTTTCAATTTGTTTGTTCTACTTTCCTTCTTAGTCCGTTTAAAAAAGAATGCCTCTTTTCTACTTAGCAACTCTTTAATTCCAACTTTCCAGAACATTAAAGGGGATTTGGTACATTTGACATACCTTTAATTTTAGACTACAAGATTCAAAAGTCTTCTTTACTTTCTAACTCCGTGCCAAGTCAGAATAGGACAAACAATTATAAATAGAGGGAGTAATTGTTATCTATTTCGATTGAGAGGAATGATAGATGTCTCAATGACAAGATAAACAACATAGAGCAGATTAAATATATATGTACCTATGGTGCAGGAAGAATCTTTTTCCAGGCTAGTTAAACTAGTTTATTCTCTTTGGCCAGCCGGCTTGTTGCAACCTGTTATATGGGAATTGGGTATAAAACTGTTTTTTTTTCAATGGTAACTATAAAAAAGCTTTCTTTTGTGTATAGGAATTAAAGAAATGGGTTTTCATCGTTGAGAGTGAGCTCTTTTCTTCCTTTACTACACTTTGGAACTGTTTCTCTACATATCCAAGGATGTTAGCTAGGCTTGATTTCTGAAGAATGAAAATGTTTACTGATAGTGCGGAATAGGCTTGAATTGTAATAATTTTTGGTGTAGTATTTGATTGTTAAAAGAAAATAAAGAACACGGAGTGAGATCCATGCGTTTCAGGAGTGAACTACCACTATGGAAGATTCCTTAAGGCTCCCTATGACCTTTTTATTTTCTCATGGTTTCTACAAAAGGAGGAGATTAAAAAAAGGAAAATTTCTACAAAACCAAATATTTTAAAGATGGAAGACAAGTATTCTTGAGTTGATCACATCATTCAGAATGAGACCATTTCTACAAAAACGATTTCTCTATAAGATAATAGTTCTTTTTTCATTATTGGATTGAAGTAGATCTTTCGAGGGATATATCTTTGGAATTTGGTAGATGTTTTGTGGGATACTTGAAATAAAGGTGCTTTCTGTTGTTGAGATCCTTTTTAAATGTAAGTTCATCTACAACTATTGAAATCCGTGATCTAAGCTCCTATTGGATTGATGACAAATTGATTATGCGGTATATGTACCTTTAGTCTTTAAAGTAAGACCTTAGCTGTTGTAGCCAAATTTGAACTGTACTCTTTGTAAATCCAAAATATGGTGTTCATAGGCAAAGTGCAAGGGGAAATCCAAGCAATCATTTTCATTTAAATGTACTCAAGAATGTCGTTGTACAACCTGTCTGCTTAGTGAATCCAGTAATGCAACCACTTATGTTTTCATGCCATGAATTGTGCTCAACTGCTCATATGGAAGAACATGGTTTTGAAAGCACTAAAATATCTGACATTTTGAGAGACAAGGGTAAAGGCACTAATGATTCTCGGCTCTGGTACACTACATATGATACTCTATATGATGTTGTGCAATCAACTAGTATCTTCATGTTTTGTCTAAACTGACTTTGCATCTCACCGTTGACATTGCACACTTAGTAATTTCACATATAGACAATATTAAAAGTAACCACATTTGGCAGAAAGTGCAAGTTAGCACACAATTATAAGAAAATGGTTTGGTCATGTCTTGCATAGTCACCTCTAGATACACCAGTCAATAAGTGTAAAATCATGGTGAGTGAATGTGTTGAAAAGGAACTAGATAGACTTAATATCACATGGAAGGAAGTTGCTTAGATAGACCTACAATCTCTTAGAATCCACAGTAGAACTAGAGAAAAATAAGGCATGTTGGAGAAATATATCTATATAGTCTATGCCAAATTGTTTTTCTCCCTATTCGAAAGTTGAGATTATTTTTTAGTTATTAGTATGCTTACTTTAAGTCATATGTTCTCTAGGATTCTTTTAGTCATGTTAGAGATTTATATACCAGTAAAAATTAAAGTTTAGTACTCTTTATTTTGTATGTTATTATCCAAGATGAAATTTAATAAAGTGACATGATCATATAGTCGATCCCAGGCTCCCAGCTTGTTAATTCTTTGTTTTTTTGTTTTTTTTTTGTACTTTAATTCTCCTTATTAATTCTTAGGTATGGTAACTGATATGTTTCTAATCCACTTACGAGTCTAGGGATGTAATGCTGGTTCTATTATGAGAACTTTGGTTGCATAGATTCATATGGCATAACATAATGTCAGAGCTTTTGTCGTTGTGAATCTTGGGAAAATAAGTCAACAACAACATACCCAGTGTAGTCCCACAAAAATTTTCTAGGAAGGGTAGAGTATACGTAGGCCTTACCCCTACTTCAGAGATAGAGAGGTTGTTTAGACCCTCGACTCAAGAAAAATTCAATCCAAAGCATTCCTGAGAAAATAAGTCAACCACTACAGAAAGAGGTATCAACCACTTTTAAAAGAAATTGGTGTCTTCTTTATCACCTTTAAAAGTTGGTGATGCTACCTCTCTACTTATCTATAGGAGTTTTGAACTTTGAAATTTTTCCTTGATCATGTCTCCACCATGGCAGATCTCGGTTGAAGGCAAGGGGGTTCCTCCACCGGAAAATATAGTGTATATAGGGTCAAATTTTTGTTTTTTGTATATATATTAAATGTTGAATCCTCTTGATACAAGCCAAAAGCTCAACTCATTAGTAACTGGGGTTCAACTTCTCTTAGAGAACACAGGTTCAATTCTTGCTAACTACAACTTTAATCTTTTTAACTCTAGGCGCTCTTTTTTTTGTTTTGGAACCATCATGGAAAAAATCCCACTTCCGCCACTAGTCTCACATGTAATTTATCATAGTTGTCTTTAAACATTTTTCTTATCGCGGTGGTGTTCGGACCATCTTTTGCACACCTTGACTATTCTACTGAGTACCTCTTACCTCCTAACAGAGTTACCGGGTAACTCTGACTACCAAATATGTTTAGTTGTCTTTTAACGCATTAAGTTTTCTATGGAATATTGAATCATATGGACACTATAAGATAGGAATAATATATACCTAATTTCTTCTGAATTATGGTTTATCGGTGTGATCCTGATCTGTCACAAATCACACCCAAGGGTGTGACTTAGTGGTCAATAAAGTTGTTGAGAATCTCGAGGTCTCCGGTTCAAAACTCATCGAAGACAAAAAACACTAGGTGATTCTTTCCATCTGTCCTAGCCTTGGTGGACGGAATTACTTGGTACCTGTTGGTGGCAAGTATCCATGGAATTAGTCGAGGTGTGTGAAAGCTGGCCCGGACACCACGATCATAAATAAAAATGATCTATGACAAATCTAACCTTGCCTCTTGAATCATTTGAATGTTAGCTGTGATTTTTCTTGCTTCTCCTTCATTAACGTAATAAAGTACACCTGAGCTGAAGGTCTTTTCGGAAACAGTCTCTCTACCTTCACGAGGTAGTGGTAAGGTCTGCGTACATTCTACCCTCCCCAGACCTCACTTGTGGATTTCACTGGGTATGTTATTGTTTTTGTGTTATAGTGCTGGTAACTTTAGTTACAGTGATGACGAGTAGAGTTTTTCATGATCATGTCTCCACGTGTAGCTTCATCATAGTAGTCGTTAAGATTTTTAGTTGTCTATGGAATATTGAATCATGTGGACACTATTAGATAAGAGTAATATATATCTAATTTCTTCTACGTTTTGGTTTTTCAGTGTGATCATGTTTCGTCACAAAATTAACCTCATATCTGGAGTCTGGAATCATTTGGATGTGAATTGTCAGATGTGATCTTATGGTAATCTAATTCTCTTTCTTTTCTTCTTTTTAAGCAAGGTCACTGAGTGTATTTCCCAATGACTATTTTATTTATTTATCAAAAGTAATTTACATCTATGAACTGCTTCAATGGATTTCTGCTTCCACGTATGAGTGAATGAGATTTTTTGTTGTTTTTCATGCCCTTTGATTGATGCTTGACTCGATTTTGTTCAGATCTAGTTAGCCACTGTTTGGTCACATATGGATTTATCTTCTTATTTCTCTGTTGTCAGCTTCTCCCTTGATGTCAGCTTCTCTGTTCTAGTTGTCTAAGGTATGAACTGATTTGTTGCATTTTTGTATTTTTCCGTATGTTCAAGTAAGATGTATGAGTTGGTGTATCTGATGATTTGTGTGTACTTTGATTTGGGCTTCTACAAAATTCAGTGAATTTTCGTACAATAGAATGAGCATCTACTGATGCCAATACCACACATCGTACAATCACCCACCGATTTAGTATTTTCTCAAAAATATGATTCCTGTTATGTGTTTGTTGTACATGTCTGTGAATGTCCCCATTTCTGGGTTTATTGTCCTGCATTGGCTTTTCTTTGTTGTTTTTGTTGTTCTTACTCTGATGAGCTTTATATGTTTGTATATGCAGTGTTCGCATCTTTAACTGTCTTGCCTTGCAAAAATGAGCAAACTGTTAGCATAAAAAAACATTTTCCCTGTTCTCCTCTCATAGGATTTGAACTAAAGAGCTTTCTCCTCCTTTTTGTGCTATCTGTCTCATTTCCTGCATGGTCTAACCCTGAGATACGGCTCGTTCAACTTGTCACTGTTTATCCAGAGCCATATTAGCTAGATGATCAGACAACTTGTTTCCTTCCCTGAGTATGTCACCTCTTAGACTCAAATGAAGATAAACATTATTTCTTGGAATGTAAGGGGGCTGAATGGGGGGAGCAAAATGAGTCTCATTAGGAGTTTAACTAAACAGTGGGGGGCTGACGTCTATGTCTTTGTAGAGACAAAGTTGAGGGGAGTTGACAATGCTTTATTTAAAGAGGTGTGGGCAAATAGGTGGATGGGTGGGTAGAAGTGGAGGGATTGTAGTAATGTGGGACAAAAGGGTATTGGAAGGGGGAGCTAATAGGGACTGCTGGTCAGATGCTTACATGTAAACTAGAAGGCATAGTACAAAATCTCACTTGGTTTTAAGTGCAGTTTATGCTGACTGCAACCCAATAATAAGAAAGGAAATAGTGGAGGGAGCTGACAACAATTAGAAACTCCTTCGAAGGACCATGGGTGGTGTGTGGCAACTTCAATGTTACAAGATATCCAAACGAAAGAACTGGCAGCCATTATCTGTCTGGAGAAATGACAGAGTTCACTGACTGGATCAACGAGATGGAGTTATTTGACCCTCCTTTATTTAGAGGATCTTATACTTGGAGAAGGGGTGAGAACCACACAACAGCCTCCAGAATTGAAAGATTCCTCTACTCTAATCATTGGGAAGAATTGTTCCCGCAAATTAGACAAAGTGTGCTCCCGAGAGTAGGCTTTGATCATAGTCCAATAGCTCTAAACTGTGGAAAGCTAAATCTCAAGAAGACTTATTTTAAGTTTGAGCAATGGTGGATGAGGGTGGAAGGGTTCAGAGAAAAAGTAAAAGAATGGTGGGCATCCTTCACTGTAAATGGAACAACTTCTTTTAGGTTGGCAACAAAACTAAAGCTACTCAAAGGGAGATTGAAGGAATGGGAGCTGGAGAATAGAGGCAACTAGAAACATAGAAAGGAGGATATGTTGAACCAGATTGCTAGTCTTGAAACTATCCAGGAACAGAGAACACTCAATGTGAAGGAGAGTCTACACAAAGCTAAGTTATTCAATGAGTTTGCAGAAATTTCCAAGAATGAGGAAATAGCGTGGAGACAAAGGTCCAGGGTACAATGGCTCAAGCAAGGGGATAAAAATACCAAATACTTTCAGGAAATGGCAACATCACACAGAAGATTCAATACAATCGAGAAGTTAGAAGTGGAAGGTGTGATTATTTCCGAACCAGAGGTGATCAAGAACGAAGTTGTAAGCTTTTACCAGAAACTCTACAAGGAATCAGAACAATAGAGGCCACATTTTAATCTCCAAGGGAGTGAAAGCATCAGTGTGGAGGGAAAAGAGTGGCTACAAAGACAATTTGAGGAAGATGAAGTCCTTGAGATACTCAAGTTGTGTTCCAGTGACAAGGCCCCAGGTCCGGATGGTTTCCCGATGAGTTTTTATCAAAGCTTGTGGGAAATGCTTAAGGAAGACATACTGAGCATCTTGAGGCAATTTCATGATCACCAAGTGTTTGAGAAGAGCCTAAATGCAACCTATATGGCATTGATCCCAAAAAGGTGGGAGCTGTGGAACTAAGAGATTTCAGACCTATAAGCTTGATAAGTGGAATATACAAGATCATTGCCAAGATACTAGCAGAAAGGTTAAAGAAAATGATCAGTAAGCTTGTGAATAAACACCAGATGGCCTTCATAAAAGGTAGGCAGATCATTGATGCAACACTTATAGCAAGTGAGTGTGTGGACACCAGAGTCAAAGGAGATGATCCAGGAATTATGTGCAAGCTGGACATAGAGAAGGCTTATGATCATGTCAATTGGGGCTTCCTAATCATGATTCTAAAACAAATGGGTTTTGGGGATAAATGGCTGAAGTGGATCGATTATTGCATTAAAACTGTTAGGTTCTCCATTTTAGTGAATGGAGACCCTGTTGGTTTTTTCCCATCAGAAAGGGGTCTAAGGCAGGAGACCCACTCTCTCCTTTCCTTTTCATCCTAGCCATGGAGGGCTATAATAGTATGATGAGAGTAGCTACCCAAAATAATTGGTTAAAAGGCTTCAAGGTCCGCAACTCTTCAAAAAGGGAAATGCAGATTTGTCATCTGCTTTATGCAGATGACACCATTATTTTCTGTGAAGCCAAGGCTGAACAGGTTACCTTTATAAGAATGACTTTGGTGGTTTTTGAAGCAGTCTCGGGTTTATCAGTAAATTGGAGGAAAAGCAGCATTTTTCCAATTAAAGAAATCCCTCAACTTCAGAGCCTAGCAAGGATATTGGGGTGTAAAGTAGAACATCTTCCCACTACTTACTTGGGCATGCCATTGGGACACAATCATAAGGAGCTAGAAATTTGGGACGGCATAATTGAAAAGACAGAGAAGAAATTGGCCAATTGGAAAGCTCAGTATATCTCTTTAGGAGGGAGAGTCACTTTAATAAACTCTGTGTTGGACTCTCTTCCAACTTATGTTATGTCTTTATTCCCTATGCCTGCCAAAGTGGAAGAAAGACTTGACAAACTGAGAAGAGATTTCTTGTGGAAAGGGAATAAAGAAGGGAAGGGTTTGCATTTAGTCAAATGGCAGACTGCACAGTTACATAAACAATCTGGTGGACTTGGAATCAGAAACTTGGGGTTGCAGAATAGATGTCTCTTGTCAAAATGGCTATGGAGGTTCAACACTGAGGAAGAAGCACTGTGGAGGGAGGTGATAGTCAACAAGTACGGGTGAATGGGAATTGGGTCTCCAACTCTGTGAATAGCACTTACGGGGTGTCAGCTTGGAGAACAATAAGAAATTTGTGGCCTGATCTAAGTAGAAACATAGTCTACAAGGTGGGAAATGGGACGAAAATCCTATTCTGGAAAGAGAATTAGAATGGAAATGAGGCACTGATGGGCTGGGCTTATTTCCTGACCTATTTTCCTTGTGTACCAATCCGGAAGAAACAGTGGCTGAGGTATGGTCTATTCATGGATGGAATATTGTGTTTAGAAGGCATTTAAATGACTAGGAGATTGGGAGAGTGGCTGAGCTATTACATGTTCTCAATGGTTTTAATGGGTTATCAGCAGAAAAAGATTCTATCGTATGGAAACACTCTAGAGATGGAAGCCTTTCTGTTAACAAGTTATATATTAAGGAGGTGAATGAGTATCCAGGTGGTAAACTTGGCCCTTGGAAGCAGATTTGGAGGAACAAGGTGCCAACCAAGGTAAAGTGTTCTCCTAGTTGGTTGCCAGAAGAGCATGCTCCACTCATGAGAAATTGAAAATGAGGTGTTTCTATATTGCTTTTTGGTGCTCTCTCTGTAATGAGACTGAGGAAACCAACAACCATTTGTTCCTCCATTGCAAAGTGACAATACAATTGTGGAACCTTTTTTTGGGACTAACACATAGAGAATGGATTATGCCTGAGCATACATCAGATCTACTTAGTTGCTGGATCAGCAGAGGGAGGAGAAAATCTAAGAAAAAGTGGTGGAGTATAATACCATCATGCATTTGGTGGTGTATTTGGAAAGAAAGAAATAGCAGATGCTATGATAACAAAGCTAATTCAATAGATAAAGTCAAATGGAACTGCTTGACTACTTTTTATTTTTGGTGTAAAGAGGAAGGGATAGAAGAAGCTGCACAAATTTTGGATTTTATAGGCACTTTGTAATCTATTAGCTCTTTTTGTTTTTTCTCTTGTTGGAAACCAATTTTTGGAGGTCTCCAGCATATCCTTAATGCTGATGAATACAACATTATCTTTATCAACAAAAAAAAAAAGTATGTGAGTGATTACCACTGTCCTTTCTCTCCTGAGTCTCCATATTTCTTCGATAATGGTCACTATATTCCAGGGAACTTCCCAAACCCTCTATTACGTTTTTCAGTACTAGAGAACCTATCTCAATGAATATTCTCTCAATTTGTTAGTCTTTTTGTACTTCAAAGCGAATAGGAATGCCAAAGCTTCAGCTTGTATGTTTGTACTGAAAGGTTCTTCAATCTCCTTAGCCTGTGCTTGTATGACATCTCCATTGGTATATTTTACACAGAATCCCCAAGAGCTCCTCCCAGGATTTCCTCTTGAGGCCCCGACTGTGTTCACCTTCACCCAACCTGTGTCTGGTGGCTTCGAAATAACTTTGATGATCTTCACGGTGTGAGATTACCTATATATGGCTTCCACCATTGTGCATATTTGAGATTTTTCTTCCTTGCCTTCATGAACTGAATCGAAGTGCACATCACCTGATATATTAGTTTGGTATTGGATATTTTTCCTCCATGCCTCAACGACTTCCTCTTTTTCCATAGCTCCCACAATATAATAGATGGCACTGCTTGAAACATATAACTCACTTGCAGATGTGCAGGCATCCCCCACCATATGCTTATCAATTGAGTAAGGTGTAGATTTTGATTAACATTGCAATAAATAGAATTTGATATGAACATTTGGCGAATAATAGAAGAAAATACAAGCGCAGTGGATAAGGAACATGTCAGAATCTACAAAAATATTTCCAAACATACTGAGCTGCTGGAGAATATAGAGGAATACATGATTTATATCTTCCACTCTAGGATATTCACAACAATGACATCTTGATGGAAACTGAATTCCCCATTTTTTCAAAGTAACATCCAGTGGCAATTTAGCTTTCCACAGTCTCTACATGAAAAAAGAGATCTTGATAGGCAAATCTTTAACCACTTCAGCTTATATATTTTGTTGACCTCCCATCTTTGTCTCGTTACCTGGAAGGCAGACACTACTGTGAATTTTCCTCTTGCTTCTAGCTTCCAGTTTCCAGTATGGTCTATCTAATTCCTCCTCCTCTTTAGGTGGGTCCACCTTTTCTAGAATATGTTCTGCCAACCCTTGAGGAAGAATTCTTCTCAATGTATTTTCTTGCCATTGCCCCCCTTCAGCTGTTTCTTTGACTAGTATAATTGTAAGATCACACTCAACATTTGGTGGAATGATTTGACATAAAGCACACAGTCCTGTCCAATTGTCTAACCAGAAGTATGAGTTGCCCTCTTTAATCAACATAATATAGTACATTTCATATTTATGAATATTCAGCTGACATTAATACAGACAAGTGCTAGGTTTAAAAGTTTTAAATCTCCATTTTCTACTGTCTAGTTCTTCAAGATGATTTACTAGATGACGCACAAATAGTTGGTCATGTGTAATTTATTACAACCAAATACTCTTTGTGCTTTCTTTTGTCCCCTCCTCTCTCTTATTAATTCTCTTGATGAAAATTACGTCAGGAAAGTTTATGGAACTGGGAAAGATTATCCAAGCAACGGAAGTTGGGAACTTTATGACAGAAGAGGTAAATTTGATGGCTCTTCTTATATAAAAGAAATGTGCAGTATTGATATGTGCTTCCTGCCAAAAGCTAGATCTGTAGTTAGATAGCAAGAGATTCTTTTACAATGATGTCAAATATGTTTGTGTAGGTGGTAGAACAAGCTCATCACAGTCGCACCAGAAACTGAAGTAAGAAAGTGATGCAATTGGTCACAGGTGTTAGTTTTTGCTTTATTTCTCAAACCTCTAGCCTTTTTCTAGTGAAGATAAGCTTATTAAATACTTTGCAACATAGTCTATCCGCTTCCTGGCTCATTCCTCCCTTTCACAGTCACTACACCTTTCCAAAGGTTATGTTCTATCCTTGTGGAGACTAATACGTTTCTACTGTTGCAAAGCTGAAAATCCTGGGAAATTGCTCCTTGAAATGGCTTGTTCCATATCCATCTGTCTTTACCCGAATAGGATTTTTCTACCACCTCCCAGTTTAATTTGAATGTGCTTTGGGAATTTGCTCTATAAGTTTCTGACGAATTATGTATGGTCTTCACCTTTTTGTTTGTGCCACATTATACTATTAACAGACGCTACTGCTTTTCTTCATAACCTATCTGTAGTTTTGAGTCGGTTTGAATCCTCAGAACTTGACTTCATGATTTATTAAGATGATAGAATGACAAGTTTATTATTCCTTTTACTGCTTGGAGGAGGGATGACTCATATTTGATGTTTTGCTTCTTCTCCAAGTTTGAATTTCATGCGGCAATGTTCAGTTTTTTGGATTTGAACATGTTCTACTCAAGCGGTGGAGCCTGGATTTGAAGTTTATGGGTTTTGAATTTGTCACCAAACCTGGTAGTTCGTCTTAGTTAGTGGGCTCGCACTTAAATAATAATATATATTTAATAAAATTCTTGACACAAGTACAGGGTCTAAGCAATAGCTACTGGGTTTGCCCGAACCTGTAGCTAATACTCTCCCTCTGCCCCTATTCTCCGGAAAACTAATTGACCTATTTGTTATGCTGCAGGCTCATAAAATGATCGGATCAGTTCTCGTAATAGTATCTTGATGTGGTTGCATTGGAGCGGCGACAAGGATTGGTTGTTGCATCTGCATGAGTGGTTTACATTGATGATTTATTATGTATCTGTGGAACATTTCTAGTTAGATTTTGAGATCTTACTTGCATAGCTTCTCTTTCGAATTAACTTGGATGAGTTTTTGACCATTTTGGGCTTAATTTAAACTTGGTCAAATGTCCGTGGTGATTTACAAGAATCGTCTTGAACTTTTGACCTCATTTGTACCACGAGCAAAACTTCCAGTTCAACAAGTTTTGACTTTTAGCTCAGAAGGTTTGTCCATGGAGCAAGCGGGGATTAAAAGTTCAAGATCATGTAATTTTAAGATGGGAAAGGGGTCAAATATGCCCCTAAACTATTCGAAAATGTTTAGATATACCTCCCGTTTGAAGTTTGGCTCATCTGTGCCCTCGCCATCCAACTTCTCACGTAGATATGTAGAGGCGTATCTAGGATCTCAAGAACATGGGGGCACCATTATCTTCAAAATAGGCAATTAATTCAATTATATAAATTTTACGGTGAGAACAAGTTGACGAGCAAGTAGGTAGTAGCAATCTTTATATAGTAATATATTAGCAAAAAACATCATTCACTTACAATTGTCCTCGACGAGTTTTCATATTTTGAAAACGGTCAATAATGGCATCATTACTTACATTTTTAAATATACTACGCTCTATATAGCAAACTAAACAACCATTCAAAAGATCTTCATCCATCCTATTACGCAAATCATTCTTTATGTACTTCATTGATGAGAATGCTCTTTCCACGCTTGCGGTAGCAACAGGAATAATCAAAGTTAGCTTCACAAGTAGATACACAAGTGACCAAGTTTGATCTAGTTTTGTCTCTATCATCACTTTTGCAAGATCCTTGATTCCCTTCAAGTTGAGAAACTTGCTATCACACTTTTGAGCATAGACAATAAAATCATCAAGTTGAAAATTGAGTTCCCGAAGCTCTTTATCACCAAACTCACTTGGGTAGTACTCGGCTAGTTTCATTATCCTATCCTTGTGAAAATTAGCAAATGAATCAACCGGACTCAAACTAGCCATACCGAGGAGCAAGTCACTAGTCACCACATCAAAACGATTATTGAGTTCTTGAAGTGCCAAATCAATGACGGCATAAAATACTTCCACACGAAAGTGATGCAAATATGAAATATTGGACCTCTTACGCTTCGACTTCCCATTAGAGTAGTCTTCATTCATTTTGGGAATTGAAATTCCATGTTTACCACAAAATAAGCTAACCTCATCCATCATAGAGTCCCATTCATCCTCTCTCATCATTTGCAATCGTTTCTTTGAAAGGTCAAGCAATCCCATAGCATTAACAATATCTTGATCTTTCTTTTGTAAAACTTTATTCAACTCATTCGTCAATAGCAACACCTTAAACATCAAGTGCAACATAAAGACAAATTCAAATTCATGAATCTTGCTCAAAAGATTTTCCGCCGTAAATCTATCAAGATAATAAGGACAATCACGTTTCATATTCTTAAGCACATTAACAATTGAAGAAAAAAGAATCAGGAAATTGTCCAAGGTTTTAAAATGAGACCCCCAACGAGTATCACCCGGTCGTTGGAGGCCACGTTCTTGATTCAAACCTTGCCCTGTATGAACTTCTCCAAATTTAAGCAACTCTTCCAACTTATCTTCTTGATGTTGTCGAAGTGAATCTCTGCGTTTAAATGAAGCTCCAATAGTATTCAAAATATTAGTGAGAACATAAAAAAAATTATCCACATCCGAATTCTTTTTGGAAAGACCTACAAGTGCCAATTGCAATTGGTGAGCAAAACAGTGAATAGAATATGCAGATGACGTATCTTGTAAAATCAAAGACTTGAGACCATTTATTTCCCCTTGCATATTACTAGCCCCATCATAACCTTGACCACGTATTTTGGATGTACATAATGAGTGATCCAAAAGCAAAGAATAAATTGCCTTTTTTAATGATTGAGAAGATGTATCATTTACATGGACAATACCCCCAAGAATCGCTCTATCACCATTCCACTTTTGTTGACATATCTCAAAATTAGAGCCATTTGCTCCTTATGAGAAACATCCTTTGATTCATCAACTAATATTCCAAAATAATCACCGTCCAAGTCTTCAATGATAGCCTTAGTTATTTCTTTAGCACAAGCCTCCACAATATCTTTTTGAATTGTCGGACAAATCATCATATCATTTTGTGGAGCATTACCTAATATTACTCTTCCCACATCAAAACTTCTATCCCCATACCATTTCAAAAGTTCAAGAAAAGCACCCTTATATTCGGAACCTTCACTTTCATCATGTCCACGAAATGGAAATCCCGATGTCAAGAGAAATCTTGCTACATCAATTGAGGCATTTAAACGCATCCGATAATCACTTCTTGCCTTTTCACTTTGCTTGTCAAAAGAAGATTGGATCAATTGTCGGTGGTTTTTCAAATCTTGCATCCTATTGAAACATTTATGATGGATACTATTTACCTTACCAACATGTTTTTTGAATCTTTCTAAAGCTTTGTTCCAACACCTAAAACCATCTCTTGTAAATGAATCTCCGGCATTTCCACGACTTTCAAGTTCATTCTTGAACAAAAAACAACACAAACAAAATGTTGTGTCTGCTTTAATGCTATATTCCAACCATTGAGATCTTCTCTTAAACCAAGTTGGTCGAAATTGACGCATTTTATCTCCAAACTTAGTTTTAGGGAAGATATGATCAACAGGTTGACATGGCTTTTTTTTAATGTACCGCATCTCGAATATTAGGACCATAAGATGAAATAGGCATTCGATCTTTGGGATCTGCTTCCAGAGATTTAAAATCAAGTATATTATCCATATTTGAAAGTGGAAAAGAATTTGTATGTCTTTGAACTTCCGGAGCAACTTGTGAACTCACAAATGGTTGATTAGAGCTAGAACTTGGTTGGCCATCTTTTGGCTTTGGTAACTTGATGAGAAACTTATCCATTTATGATTTGATGAATTGATTGTAAGAATTATTTTACCTACAAAATTAAATATTCACACTTCTATTCAATCTTATAAAAACAAAATAATTTTTAAAAAATATAAGCACAAATAACAAGTTTACTAATAAAAGAATCACAATTATTAGATAACTATTTAGAAATCAAGAAATTCTTATAAATTTAAATATTCAAGCAATCAAATAATGGAACCACTTCATAAATCAAGAAAAACATATAAAACAAATGAAGTACATTAATAAATAAAAAAAAATTTTAGATAACATACCTTGTTACTTGTTCTCAAATCTCACTTCTACTTCACCATGAACAACAAAGTGGAAATGTGGAATGAAGCCAAAAGAAGAACAATATGATG